CCCCCCCCACTCCTGGGATTTGAACCCGCAAGCCCTCCGGCTGTCCCGAGGTGCCCGGCGTGAACGGTGCACGCGAGGCCTCCTGGGAAACGAGCCGGCGCCAAACCCTCTCGTTCTCTCCGGCAGAAGGAGATCCTGCACTCGGACCTGGTGATGTGCCCCCTCATCGCCATCATCACCTTCGCCATCAGCGCCAGCACCGTCTTCATCGCCCTGCAGGTCAGTCTTCAGCCCTGAGAATCGAGCGCGTTTTTTTTTTGTTAGCACATCCGGGGGGGGGGTTGGTTCTTTGGAGAGAAGCCCAGGAGGGGAGGAGGTGTGGGGGTTGTAGCCGTAGAGCTGACCACCTGATGTCGGCTCCAGGTTAGCATCATCCTTGCTATTGACCGTTCTGAGCTGCAAAACAAATTGCACTGCTTGTCCTCCCTTGGAGTTTCTGCTGTCTGCCATCAGAAATGGACCCCTCCCCTCCCCTCCCCCCCGCCCCTCCCTTAACCCTGCAGCAGCTTTCCTCCGGGGTTGGTTCTGTTCGGTCGGAAACCGGGCCTGGTGGTTCCGTGCACTGATCCCCCTCCCCTCCCCGCAGCCTGCCCTGAGCGTTGTCCTGTACGCCCTGGCCGGTCTCGTGGGCTTCCTCACCCACTACCTGCTCCCTCAGCTCCGAAAGCAGCTGCCCTGGTTCTGCCTGGCCCACCCCGTGCTGCGGTCCCGCGAGTACAGCCAGTTCGAGGTCCGGGGTGAGTATCCGCCGCGGGCTTCCCGGGGAAGAGCCGCTGTGTGTGTGTGTGTGTGTGTGTGTGTGTGTGTGTGTGTGTGTGTGTTCTCTTGCCAGTTGTGCCGGCGGCAGCCGTCTTTTCTACCCCCTCTTCCGGGCCCTGTACGTTTGCGGTCGTAGCGCCCCGAACCCGTGCCCGTCGGCGAGCCGGGCCGGTACTCCTGCTTTCGGAGATCTCATTTCTTGCTTCGGTCGCGTTTCGGAGGAAGTGGGGGGGGGGGTAAGTTGCAGAGTTTGTATATCCAGGGGCAGGCAGTGTTGGGCAGTGGTCAGGGATCATGGGATTTTAGTTGCCCCTCTGGGGGGGGCATTGCATATTGCAGGATATTTGCCCCTTCTTGATGCCCCGCCCCATGTGAGGGGTGTGGCCACGATGCCCCGCCCCAAGGAGGGGTGTGGCCACGATGTCCCGCCCCTACGAGGGGTGTGGCCACGATGCCCCGCCCCTACGAGGGGTGTGGTCAGGATGCCTCGCCCCTACGAGGGGTGTGACCACGATGCCCCACCCCTACGAGGGGTGTGGTCACGATGCAACCCCCCCTTCCAGAGGTGCTTGGGTTCCCAGGAAAGTTCACAAATGTTACAAAACCACGCGGGCGTTCCCCTCTCTGAACATTTTGGCCAGTTGCACTTTCCGCGGGATCGTCGACCCCATCCCCCCAGCGAGTTCGTCCGGCGGGCTTCGCCGTTCACCCCTGCAGCCTCCAGTCAGGCGCGGCACAGCCTGCGACGCGAGCCGCGGCTCGGGATCTATCTAGGAAGGGCCCAGAGACGACGTCGCTCCTGTCGCCCAGTGCCAGGGCATCGCTGTCAAAACGGCGAAACCGTGTTTTGTCACTGCGTTTGGCCGGTCGCACAGTTCGTGGCTCTCGGTTGCCAGTCTGTGCCTGAGGAGTCGCAGGAAACGCTATTTCTCCCTTCGGCGTGTTTGACATCTCACTCCTGAGAACAGCTGATGGTGCTACAGAGGCGCTGTTTCCCAAACGTGCTTCCAGTCTCGTGTTGTGATGGGAAGACTTGAGTGGAATCGAACTGAGAAGGAAACGTCGCAGGAAGCCAAGCTCGGTGGGCACCAGAGACCTTAACGTCGGGTGCGGCTCATTGGTTGACCCTCCCTCTTCCTCGTATTGTAGTAGCTGGTTGTTTCTCTCGAGCCGGGAGGAACGCGCAGAAACTGGGAACGTAGCCTTTCAGCTGTCGGGCCAGTGATCTGCGAAACGACTGACCCACCTCTTTCCCCCCCGCAGACGCCGCCCAGCTGACGTGGTTCGAGAAGCTGTACGCCTGGCTGCAGTGCGTGGAGAAGTACTTCATCTACCCCGCGGTCATCCTCAACTCGCTGACCACCGAGGCCCGCGCCGTCAGCGCCCAGCCGGAGAAGCTGGGCATCTGGTGAGCCCCGCCGCGGGTCGATGCGGGGCGGCACGGCCCCCGGCGTGTCCCGTCGCCCTGACCCCCCCCCTCTCTCTCTCTGTCCCTCTCTACAGCCGCGCCCTCTTCGTCACCATGGCGGGCATGAAGCTCCTGCGGGCCTCCTTCTGCGCCCCCTCCCAGCAGTACGTCACGCTGTGCTTCACCGTCCTCTTCTTCCACTTCGACTACCCTCACTACTCCGAGACCTTCCTCCTCGACTACTACTTCATGTCCATCGTCTTCAACAAGGTCAGTCCCTGCCCATCCAGGTTGGGGTTCTCCCGCTCCCTGTTGTCCCATTCGTGTCTGAGGATGTGATGCCACGCCCTCTTCCGGACGGGGGAGGGTATAGCCGTGATGCCCCGCCCTGTTGAGGGGGTGTGGCCAAGTTAACAATGCCCCGCCCACTGAGAGATATGTCATCTTGCCCCGCCCCATCCGGGGTGTGTCCGTGGTGCCCACGCCCCATTGAGGGGTGTGTCCAACCCCATCAGTGGGTGTAGATATCTTGTCACGCCCCCCATTAACAGTGCTTCACAAAAGTACCAAAACCAGTTACATCTTAGATGGTTTTTCACTCTTGGAACGTTTTGCCCAGTATCTCTTAAAACAATATGGTTTAAGGGAAGAATATTAGCTAGTGGCCTATGCAGAAATAGAGCTTCATTTGTCCTTAACGGGGCCTTAAACTTAATCCAGGTTACTGAGAGTTTGCTCAATTTTTCTGACTGTAATTTGAGAGAACAGAGTCACCCTTTTCCTCACGCGATTGTCGCTGGCTGACTTGGGAGGAGGGTTTGCGGGTGTGAGGCTGACCGGCACTTCTTCTCTCGCAGCTGTGGGACCTGCTGTACAAGCTGCGCTTCGTCCTGACCTACATCGCGCCCTGGCAGATCACCTGGGGCTCCGCCTTCCACGCCTTCGCCCAGCCCTTCGCCGTGCCTCGTATCCTCCTACGCCGTTGGGTTCCGGCCGAACGGTCTCGCGGCGGCTTCCGGTCGGAGCCCCGCCCCTCTCCGTATGGCCCCTCCCCCTTTTGTTGGAGCTCCGCCCACCACCTTGGAGCCCCACCCCTCCGGTTGGCTCACACTCTCTGGGTGACGGGGCTTCAACCAGAGGAGCTCGTAGCTGCATCTTGCACAATGGGAAATCCCCAAATTGGATGTGTGTGGGATCAAAGCAAGAGATCTTGTCCATTTTCTGTTTGTTCTTCATGTTGTCATTACTGGGGTTTTTTCCCACTCCCCCATTTCCAAGCTTCTCATTCTGTCAACTATCCTGATGTAGTCAAAAAAAACACCTGGAATGGGATTCTGTAGTATAATGTGTAGTATTAAGATGGGGTCGCCAGTCTCCCAACTTTTATCCAGCCTTGCTTCGTGTGTCAGTCATCGCAGTAGTGACTGACTTAATTTCTTAAACTCTCCAACTGGGAGATCGCTGGTAGTCTCTTCTGTTCAAGTGTCTGTGCCAGCTATTCTGGATCTCTTCAAAACACTCCATTGACCAGATCTCTTGCTTTGATTTGTCTTAGTTTTGAAATTCTGAATGTCTCATTTGCGAAGAGACATGCCCTTTCTATAATCAGCAGTCAGAAAAATTCAGACCCGTGCAGGGGGGCGTGAACTGGGTTTGATTAAGCCCCAGTGTCACTAATTTAACCCTCATCCTGACCTCCTGTTCAGCTGATGGAAGTCAAGTGACCGACAGAACCAGACTGGGGGAGCCCTCCTCTCTGCCTGGGGGGCATTGGAGATCAATAGTCTGGGGAAACAGTGGCTGTAGTCGCACCTGATGCTTCTGCATTGTCCACTAGTTTGATAGGTGGAAACCTTGGGAGTTGAACTAGGCCTGACGGGTCGATGTCCGATGTTTCGAGCTCCTGGCTGCCCAGCCGGCGACCAGTTTGACCAGCTCGGGGATCGGCATGCCATGCCTGCCGCGCGGCGGTTTCGTGGCGAGTCCCCCCCCGATGTCTGTCCGATGTCGTGACCGCCGAGCCCCGGAACGGGCGATCCGGTTCCCCCCCCCCCCCATTTCCCGCTGGTATTGCTCCTTGACCGCCTCCCGCCTCTCAGATTCGGCCATGCTGTTCGTGCAGGCGGTGTTCTCCGCTGTCTTCTCCACGCCGCTCAACCCCGTCCTGGGCAGCGCCGTCTTCGTCACCTCCTACACCCGGCCCGTCAAGTTCTGGGAGCGCGACTACAAGTGAGTGGCCTTCGCCGCCAGTACCGGCCCCCCAGGGTTTTCAGAACCTGTGGAAAGTCCCCATGTTAGCCACCTCTGCTAAAGACCGAAGAGCTCCAGTTCCCTTTGACCTGGGGCGGTGCTGCCTGCTGCTCCTGAGCTCGTTATCTGGGGCAGCAGTGACCTCTTCGTGGCGTCTCGGTGGTTCGGTCCTGCTGCGAACGGAACCGGAACTCGCTTCTCGGGAAACCCGATCTGCGGGGGCCTGTCCCGTCTCGCGGTTCAGTCAGCTTCTCAAGTGTAGTAATAATAATAATAATGAACAGTTGCTTACGCTTATAAAGCGCTTTTCTAGACACTCCACTCAAAGCGCTTTACAGGTAATGGGGATCCCCTCACCCACCCCCAGTAGTGTGTACCCCCACCTGGGTGAGGCGCCAGTCCGCTCCCCACACCCCAGCTCTCAGTGGGGAGGAGGGCAGAGTGATGGAGCCAGTTCAGAGAGGGGGGTTATCAGGAGGCCATGATGGGTAAAGGCCAGGGGGGAAATTGGGCCAGGACACCGGGGTAACACCCCTACTCTTCTCGAGAAACGCCCTGGGGTTTTTAATGACCACAGAGAGTCATGACCTCGGTTTGACGTCTCATCCGAAGGACGGCGCCTGTTTACAGTCTAGTGTCCCCCGTCACTATACTGGGGCATCAGGACCCACACAGACCGCAGGGTGAGCGCCCCCTGCTGGCCCCACTAACACCTCTTCCAGCAGCAGCCTCAGCTTTCCCAGGAGTCTCCCCTCCAGGTACTGGCCAGGCTCCCACCTGCTGAGCTCCAGCACGGAATGACCTCGGCGCGTCCGCCGACTCCCTCTCCTCCGCCGCCCCTCCCAGCGCTGATTCCCGTCTTCCTTTGCCCCCCTGCAGCACGCGGCGGGTGGATCACTCCAACACGCGGCTGGCCACGCAACTGGACCGCAACCCAGGTGAGGACGGGCGCCCCTGCGGCACGGGGGTGGGGGGGGGGCCAGCGGGGGGAGGGCGCGGGCGTCGCAGTCCCGGCGTCCGGCCACCGGAGGGCGCCCCGAGCTCCAGTTCCCACTCGGGATCGTGGGGTTGTCGTTTTCCTGGATTTTACCTGCCTGGCTCCAGGCGTCATTCCCATAATGCACCCCGGCGGAACGGTGCTACCGACCGCGGTCGGGGTGAACTCGGTTTCCTGTTGTGGGGGGGGGGCGGAGTGAAGAAACATCCCTCATCTTCCTCCCTCTCCCTCCCCCCTCTCCCTCTCCCTCTCCCTCGCAGGCGCGGACGACAACAACCTGAACTCCATCTTCTACGAGCACCTGACGCGCTCCCTGCAGCACAGCCTGTGCGGGGATCTCCTGCTGGGCCGCTGGGGCAGCTGCTCCACGGGGGACTGCTTCATCCTGGCCTCGGACTACCTCAACGCCCTGGTGCACCTCATCGAGATCGGCAACGGCCTGGTCACCTTCCAGCTCCGCGGCCTGGAGTTCAGAGGTGAGCCGTCTCCGCGACCCCCCCCCATAATCATCCGCCCATTGATCCGTTTCTTGATAGAAGCCGGGGTATCGGCTTCCACAACGCGGCTGGGCAGGTTGTTCCACACCCCCACCACCCTTGGTGTAAAGAAGCGCCTCCTGTCCTGCCTGGAGGATCTCGTCCTGCCGTTTCCTGAAAGAAACCAGGGTATCGGCTTCAGCAGCATGGGCTGGGCAGGTTGTTCCACACCCCCACCACCCTTTGTGTAAAGTAAGAACCTCCTGTCCTGACTGGAGGATCTCATCTTGCTGTTTCTTGAAAGAAACCAGGGTATCGGCTTCAGCAACATGGCTGGGCGGCTTGTTCTACACCACTACCACCCTTTGTGTAGGATGTGTAGGAGTGGAGGATGTCATCCTACTATGTCTTAAAAAAAAACAGACAATGGCTTTTACAACGTGGCTGGCCAGCTTGTTCCACGCTCCCGCCACCCCTTGGTGCAAAGAAGGGCACCCTGTACTGATGAGTGGCTCTCATCCTCCTGTGTCTTAAAGGGAAGCCAGGGCATTGGCTTCTACAAAATGGCTGGGCGGCGTGTTCCACACTCCCGCCACCCTTTGTGTAAAGACGGAAGAGCACGTTGCCACCCGGGAATCTCATCCTATCAACCTTTCTCTCTCCCTCTCTTCCGCCCTCGCTCGGTCTCTCTCTCTCTCTTTCCGTTTCTCTCGCTCCCTCCCCGTCTGTCTCTCTCTGTCCCCCACCCCCCCCCGTCTCTCTCCCTCTCTCAGGGACGTACTGCCAGCAGAGGGAGGTGGAGGCCATCACGGAGGGCGTGGAGGAGGACGAGGGCTGCTGCTGCTGCGAGCCGGGTCACCTGCCCCACGTGCTGTCCTTCAACGCGGCCTTCGGGCAGCGCTGGCTGGCCTGGGAGGTGGCCGCCACCAAGTACGTGCTGGAGGGCTACAGCATCAGCGACAACAACGCCGCCTCCATGCTGCAGGTGTTCGACCTGCGCAAGATCCTCATCACCTACTACGTCAAGGTACGCCGGGCACCCCCTGGAGGGGGGGGGGGACCCCCTTCCTGCGCGATCGCGTGGCGTGAAGTCGGATTGGCGGACCGCGGGTCTGCGCAGGGGCTGATGGGAAGTCTTGATCCCGGGGCTGCAAGCACGCAGACAGGGCCGCGTGGCCAGCGCGTGGCTGCCCGGCCTGTGTTTGTCCAAGATGTGTGCAGGGCCGGGGGTCTTGCTCCTTTTTTTCTCCTTCTTCACCGTGATCCCTAAGATCCCCTTTCTGAGTGACTGGCCTGGCCGGGGGGGGGCATGAGGATCAGGGGGCCTCCTGGCCAGAACCACCCCCAGATCCGCATGCTGTTAGAAACTGCTGTTCAGTCCCAGCACACTGTTACCCCTCCATCCTTCCAAACCCTGGGGGAGAGGGTCCAGATGTGACCTCTGACCCCTGGACTGGTGGGGCCAGAGGTGCACGTCTGGTGACCTCTGACCCCTGCAAGAGACGTGCACCACTGGCCCCGCTCTCCTAGGGGATACATGGGTCACAGCAGGGGCCAGCGTGCCGTGTGACCTCTGACCCCTGGAATGGTGGGGCCAGAGGTGCACGTCTGGTGACCTCTGACCCCTGCAAGAGACGTGCACCACTGGCCCCGCTCTCCTAGGGGATACATGGGTCACAGCAGGGGCCAGCGTGCCGTGTGACCTCTGACCCCTGGAATGGTGGGGCCAGAGGTGCACGTCTGGTGACCTCTGACCCCTACAAGAGACGTGCACCACTGGCCCCACTCTCCCAGGGGATACACAGGTCACAACGGGGGGCCAGCGTGCCGTGTGACCTCTGACCCCTGGAACGGTGGGGCCAGACGTGCACGTCTGGTGACCTCTGACCCCTTTAGAGAGAGGAGCCAGATGTGCATGTCTGGTGACCTCTGACCCCTGCAAGAGACGTGCACCACTGGCCCCGCTCTCCCAGGGGATACACGGGTCACAACGGGGGGGCCGGCATGCCTCGTCACCTCTGACCCCTGGAACGGTGGGGCCAGACGCGCACGGCCGGTGACCTCTGACCCCTCAGAGAGAGAGGAGCCCAGCTGTGCACGTCGGGTGACCTCTGACCCCAGGGCCGCAGCGAGGCTCCCGGGGCGCGCGTCCTGCCGTCTTCGAGCGTGACCCCTGACCCTGTTTCCCGCCCGTCTCGCGCAGAGCATCATCTACTACGTGACCCGCTCCCCGAAGCTGGAGGAGTGGCTGGCCAACGAGGCGGTGCAGGAGGCCCTGCGCCCCTGCCAGGCCCCCGGCTACGTGGACAGCGACCCCACCTTCAACCTCAACATCGACGAGGACTACGACCACCGGGCCGCCGGCATCACGCCCGCCGCCTTCTGCTCCGTCTACCTGGACTGGATCCAGTACTGCAGCGGCCGCCGGCAGACGGTACGCGCCGGGCCCCTCGTCTGGGCTCCTGTGTGCGGGGCCCCGGGGCAGGCTGGGCCTTGATCCTGGGTCTCCGTCTTCCCCGAACCCCCTGCCCTCTCCCACAGACGGGACCCGAGCCCCCTGCCCTCTCCCACGGACGGATCCCGAACCCCCTGCCCTCTCCTATAGACGGATCCCGAACCCCCTGCCCTCTCCTATAGACGGATCCCAAGCCCCCTGCCCTCTCCTATAGATGGATCCCAAGCCCCCTGCCCTCTCCTATAGA